TTATTAAAGGCCCGATACACACATCCGATTTTTTAAGTTGCGGCGCCGTTGCGGAGCCGCACTTGCGGTCTGAGGTACAAAGTATCAGCGGGAGAATGCACACATCCCGCCGTCCCGTTGCGGCGCCGCAACGGCGATAGAACGGTCGTTTTTACCTAGCACTTTCCTCTAGGCCGCAACCGGATCGCAAACGTACCTGCGGTCTCTCAGTACTCTGTTGTATATTGACCGGTGCACACATCAGGTTTTTCACGTGAGTTCGTACTCTACAATGACGGAGAGAGAATTGGATATTGAGTTCTTCATCGAAGAAATTAAAAAATATCCAGAAATATGGAATGTGAGCGATGAAAATTACCACGATAGAACGAAGAAGAGAGCAGCATGGACAAATATCTGTTGTTTGTTCAGCGATAATTTTGAACAGAAGGATGACAAGGAAAGAAACGAAATTTGTAAGTACAATATATTGTCAAAATGTATCGATAATATTATACTGGTTTTAACTAGCATAGTACAAAAATATTACACATTATAATGTAAAAAAGTCAAATTTGTAACCTAAATATATTTGTTTTGCCAAGGAACGCTGCCAACCTCAGAAACGAAATAATTTGCCAGCTCATTTCTAGCTTGAATTGATTGATTCGGTCCTCTTTGTGTATGGTTACATCGGGTGATATCAACGAAACCTTCCACACTCAATGCATCATGAATATTGATTCCATCATTAGCTCTTACAAAATTATGAAGGGAACAGCAAGTTTTGATAAGAAGAACGGCCAAATCTAAATTAACATTTATAGCTTTCTGGAAAATTTTCCATTTATTAGACAGTATGCCAAAGGTACTTTCGACATTTCGTCGGGCACGTGACAATCTATAATTGAATACCCTTTTTTTCTCTGACAAAACTTTGCCGCTGAATGGCCTCATAATATGTGGTGAGAGGGAAAAAGCCTCATCGCCAATAAACGTATAAGGCATCCTTGTTGCAGTACCTGGTAGAGGTTGTGGTCTTGGAATATTCAATGTATTATTTTCGAGCTTTCTGTAAAAAGAAGACCGTGGAAATATAGTGCTGTCAGATTCCTTTCCAAAATCTCCAACATCGATGTAAATGAAGTTGTAATTCTAATCCGCAATTGCCAATAAAACAATGGAAAAAAAAATCTTATGATTATAAAAGAGAGACCCGCTCATTTTTGGTTTCCTAAGTCTGACATGCTTCCCGTCAATAGCTCCCAAGCAATTTGGAAACTGGCAGTATTGTTGAAAACCTTCAGCAACCGTTTTCCACCGTTCTTCCGTTAACTCGGGAAAGGATTCTGGTAGTAAACATTCCCAAATCGCCATGCAAACTTTTCGCAAAATCTTTCCGATTGTTGTATGTCCTATTCTGTATGTCAAATGCAGATCAATCTGATCGCATCCACTACCCAAGTATCTGCAACAAAGAGGAAAATATACTCACGGTTCAGAAATGGTTTATTTAAAATATTGGAAAAATATATACCCGTTGTATAAATTTTTCAACATGTTCAAAAAAATTTTGATTATTTTCATATCTATTATACGTATATTCTTTTTTTTTTTCAGGCAACAAGTTTATTAAAAAGTGGAGGAACATAAAAGATACCTATACCAAAAGTTTAAAGAAAAAAACCAAGTCTGGACAGGCTGCTGACAAAACCAAAAAATACATTTTTCTAGGCAGTTATCCTTCCTTGGATCTAGTGGGGCCACAACTGAAACTCAGTCCAGCTTAGAGGGAACTAACGAAGATGAAGATGTTGCTCAACCGGAAACTCAATCTGAACATACAGTCGACTCAGAGGAATCAGAACGTCCAAAATACGACCAAGGGAGTTCACTGAAACGAAAACGAAACGTAGAGTCCGCATTGATAGACTTCATGACGAAGCCTACGCCTACGCCTCCTCCAGCTTCAAAACCAGATCCAGACAGATCGTTTTTCGAAAGTGTCCTTCCTTCAATTAGCAAATTCGACGAAGACCAAAAAATTGAGTTTCGCTGTGAAGTACTGAAACTAATTAAACGTATGAGGAACACACAAACCATACATCCACCGACCTTTCCATCTCACACGTATCCAATAGCACCCTCTAACCCTTATCTCTCTCAATCTTCTTTTCACTCTTCCAACAACTTGCAATCTTCTAAATCGTACCAATTTCCCCCCCAGTCCACATCCACTAATTACTCTTACAACCATGCATCTCAACCTTCATCTCATTTCGAACAAACACCTCTCTCTATCAGAGTTTCACCTCCAAGACCTTACTCTCAAATAACAGAACTCCGAACAGTTGCTGCCTCATCTTCACCAGATTTTCCCATTATTAATATAACGTCTCCAACCGATTCAACTTCTACAAGCCAAGACCAAGATGAGAGTTTGAATTTATTTTCGTAAAAATAATACTTAAAGTTGAGAGTTTGTATTTTTTTTATAAAGAATAATGTTTATATTCGTGAAAAATAAATGCAGTTAAACAAAAAAGTACTTTCCGTCTTCACTTACCTCAAAGTTACAGCTAGCATTTCCAATGGTGGAATGGAAACTCTCATCCAGGTGTCTTGAGATTTGATTTTGTCTGTAATTTTTGCTGCAAGCTCGTCAAATGATTTAACAGACATTCTGAAGTAATTATAAAACTTATCAGGATTTTCTCGTAAATCTGCGAAAGAAGTACGGAATCTACCCCTGGAAAGTCTCAAATCTGTGTAAGGATGTACCCAATAACGTCTGTCTCGCTTGCAAAGGTACTGTTTGTACACAAGGTAAACAAAAACAATTTTTTTGCGATGGTCGTCCATCGTAACCTATCGAGCGCCGATCGTACACACACTGGCAGTATTTTACAAGCTAGTGTGCATTGAATCGATCCGGCTCCGCAACGACGCCGGAGAAGTGTGCATCAAATTGATCCGGTCTCGCAACGGCGCCGCAACGGTGCCGCAACTTAAAAAATCGGATGTGTGCATCGGGCCTAAGCGTCGATACAGACACGCGTTTGTTTGCCGCGCGGTGCCGCGGCGGCACCGCAATTGCGGTCTGTGATACAAGTAACGCATGTTTCCAATGCACACATGCCTCCGGCGACGTTGCGGTAACGCGCGTTCGTCTTGCGTGCATTTTGCGCCGCCACGGCTCACGGGAACGCAGCGGCGCCGCGCACGCAAGCGCGGCTCGTAGTTCATTGTTTTAAGTAGAACGATACAGACGTGCGGTGTTGTGTCTCCGAAATGTCCGGCAATTTAGATGAAATTGACATTGAATTGTTCATTTGGGCAGTGCAGAAGCATCCTGCAATATGGAATTTTGCACTGGAAGAATATCATGAGAAATGCATGGATGACAATTGCGCGTCAATTTCAAGAAGGATTCGATGAGATGGAGGACAAAGAAAAAAAAATATATGTAAGTGCAATATTCTTATTCATTTGTTAATACATAAATGACAATAGCTGTGGACAAATCCTTAGGTCAAATATATTGTATGTGAAATAACATTAAATATAGTTTGTGTGCCATGAGACGCTGCCAACATCAGAAACAAAATAATCAGCCAACTTGTTTCTAGCTTCAGTATACTGAGTAGGTGGTCGTGAGGATCCGATGGTGTCTGTCACATCAATAAACCCTGGTACACCTAATATATCTTGCAAGTCGAACCCATCTCTATCTCTTACAAAATTATGGAGAGCACAAAATGTCTTAATTATAACTTTGGCAAAGTCTAAATTTGCCAGTATTCCAAATGTACTCTCTACATTCCTGCGTGCTCGAGACAATCTATAATTAAAAATCCTTTTTGTGTCTTTCAAAACTTTGCCAGAGTAAGGTCTCATTATGTGTTTGGATAGGGAAAACGCTTCATCAGCAACAAACATGTAGGGCATGTTTGGACCTGCTGTTCGTGGAAGAGACTGAGCTTTCGGAAGATTCAGTTCATTATTATAGAGCCTCCTATAAAAGTCACTTCCTTCAAAGATAGTGCTGTCAGAGTCTTTTCCGAAAGCACCAACGTCAATGTAGATAAACTTATAATTTGCATCAGCAATAGCTAGTAATACAATCGAATATTAATTCTTGTAGTTATAAAAAAGCGAACCACTCATCACTGGTTTTCTAATTCGCACATGCTTGCCATCTATGGCACCCAAGCAATTTGGGAACTGAGTACGGTTTTGAAACCCTTTCGCAATTTCTTCCCACCGATCTTCTGTTAATTGTGGAAAATACTCTTCTTTCAAAGTAGCTCCAATCACTCTGCAAACTCTTCTCAAAATGGATCCTATTGTTGAGTGTCCAACTCTATATGTTAGGTGCAGGTCCACCTGATCCCATCCACTTCCCAAATACCTGTAAGAAACGTATTTTTTAGTATACGAGTAATATTATATTATATACCGGGTGTAACAGGATCATGGTACATCCCCCGTATCTCCGTTAGTTCTAGAGGTAATTGAATTAAATTTGGGATATCCCATATACATAATATGGGGCACTTTTTGACCTACGAATGTTTTTTCTTTCACTTCCGGTTTCGCCGGCAGTGATACCAACTTTCGATTCTCAAATGGAACACCCTGTATATTATTACATTTCTGAAATCTGCATAATTTTCTGAATTCAATGATACAACATAAGTGACATTTCAAACGTAAAATTTTTTGATTTGTTTATTTTCAGGCAACACATTGACGAAGAAGTGGAAAAATATAAAAGACAATTTTATGAAAAGTGTAAAGAAGAAAACCAAATCCGGACAGGCTGCCGACTCAGGAAGACGGTACATATATGCTCTCCAATTATCGTTTTTGCAACAGGCCGGTGCCACAACAGACACTCAATCCAGCATAGCAGAAGAGACTCTGGAACACGAAGAAGCAACTCATGAGGAACACGAAGAAGCAACTCATGAAACCCGAACTTGACAAGCAGAGCACCTGCGGCCTCCTCGTTATGAACCCGGCAGATCAAACAAGCGTAAACGTGATATAGAGGCCCAACTGATAGAGTATATGAAAGCTCCAATTCCGTCTCCAACTGTAACTGCACCTCCAGAAATCAATCCGGATAGAAGTTTTTTTGAAAGCCTTCTTCCATCCGTGAGTGCTTTCACTGAAGACCAGAAGCTGGAGTTTCGTTGTGAAGTGCTGAACACCATAAAGCGTTTAAGAATGTCTCAACACAGTACACAATTTATCCCGCAATGTAATGTGCGTCAACAGGAAAGGTACACTGGATATGCAGCAACCATTTCCACATATCAATCACAGCCTCATCAACTAACTCCATCCCGACAACATGTTCCTCGACTAACTGAACTCCGACCATTCTCCTTTTCGACACCTCATGTAGCATCTGCTACATTGTCTCAACCCTCTCCTACATGGTCTCAACCCTCTCCTGCATGGTCTGGACCCTCTCCTACATGGTCTCAGACCTCTACGGCATTGTCTCAGCCCTATACCAGTGGTCTAATTACACAACCAATCTCTCCATCAGATGGTTCCGTAAGCCTGGACGTTGACCGTGAAGAAGAAAGTATTGAACTGTACTGCGGCAGCGGGTAGCTTAACAGAAATATATTGTATTCTATAATGTTTATTTTAATAAAATACAGGGTTTATGATCTGGACACTTTATTTTTGTCTGTTCCTAGTAGCACCATATTATAACCAGAGATAAGTTACCCACATAACAAGATGTGTACGTTGATGATAAAATTTGGAAAGACCCTGTTCAGTGGTTTTGGAATCAACCACCAGATGGAACTAGTGCCGTTGATTCCATAGAGAGAATATAGCTCTTTCCAGCTCCCAATCTATACGACACTTATCATTTAAAAAAGAAGAATGACAATTGATCTGTCTTTTGTCGACGCTTTTGTCAATACGTTCATCTCGTTTTTTGTTTGTGTTGTTTCTTTTTAATGGAAAATTAAAATCTTTGCAGATTCTGTGTTTATGGTAGTGAGGAAGCGTGAAAGCATTTAGCATTAAAAGTAGTTTTTCATATTTTTTTGGTGGTTTGAGTTGCTAATTCTGTGTTTACAACAATTTCTATTCTGTTGAACGATTGATAAAATTGACTATGTCGGTATCATCAGGAAATAAGTGTGAATATATAAACTGTGATAGATCACGTCGTCAAAATGTGGGTGTGAAAATGTTTCGTTTTCCCATTAAAGATCTAGTCCGTGCAAGAAAGTGGATCGTAAATTCTGGTAAGTACAGTTATCGTGTAATCGAAAAATAAGTTACTAGCATTGCAGACAAGGAAGGACATTCATACGAGATAAGTCACCCACAGAAATAGTTAGTGAAATCTTATTTTCTAGGTTACAGGAAATGTCAAGCTGGTAGATTTGAGCTGGGAAGAACTGCATAAAAGACTAGTTTGTGAACATCGTTTTACTGAGGATGACTACATAAATCCATTGCTCAAAAATAGACTCAAACTGTCTGCAGTACCTCAACCACACAATGTCACCAAAACATCAACAGAAAGTGCTGGTCTGGAAGGCAGTTTAGAAGTACCACAGGCACCAATTCGAACATTTTCTAGATTGGCTATAGGGAAGAAAAGGAAGTCAATTGAGGAAGACAGGGAAAGTAATGCATCTTTCAGTAGTGTGTCTTCAACAAGTCATTGGTTGGAAGATATTATCAACATGCCATCTTCACCAAAGAAACAGTGCATGCCAAATGTGGTGCCTTCTAGGTTTTTAGGACATTGCAGTTCAACCTCAACTCAAACTGTGGAAGAAGCACAAAAAATTGAGATAAGAACCCTGAAGAAAAAAATTGAACAAAAAAAACAAAAAAATTGCATTACAAGCATCTCAAATTTCTAAAATGCGAAGCAAATTAAAATTGATCACTTCAAGAATCAAATGTATCCCTGCAGAAATGCAAATTAATAATTTTGATTTCCTCATGAAATGGTCCAAGACTCTAGTTAGAATGCAAATGAAGAAAAAACACAGAAAGTGGAAAAAGGATGAGAAATATTTTGCATTAGTGTTCTATTATAAATCTCCAGGAACCTATAAGTATCTTAGATGCTATATTGTTCTTCCAAGTGAGAGTTCCATAAGAAAATGGATCAGTCAATCCAAGTGCTTGCCTGGAATAAGAATAAGGTATTTTAGACAAATTCAGCTAAAAGTCCAGACAATGATATCTTATAACCCTTAAACGTGAGAAATTCAGAAATTTCAGGTTACACTGTGCGAACGGTCAGCTCATATAGTCGGGGCAAATAGGTCGTGGTTCATTTACTTACCATCTCATGTAACTTTGTCAAAAATATAACAATTAGCATAAGAAAGATAGTTCCACCAGATAAGATTTTATTTGGACGCCATCTACAGAAAATAAAGTTCAACAAACCTCTTTCTTAAGCCAATCCCTGTAGAAAGAAATTGTCTGTGCTGAAGGATAGGAAAACAAATCAAACAAATAAAATTTAGGTTCATTTACTGACTACAAAGGGTATTCAAAGCTGATGATCATTGTCAGCTTTTCGAATTGTGCCTTCGTCTAAGCAACATGGTATACAAAAAATATCATTCTGGTAAATACTCTACCCGGAGAAAAAGTACAGAAATCAGATACCTATAATAATGACTTTCTATAATCTAAAATGACTTCCATGACATCGCTATACCATCATATATACACACATACATAAATATATACCTAGATATATAATTCTCCAACCTGGGTGTTGTTTCAGCAATGTTCGGAGGAATTTTGCCGCAGTCATAATAGTGGACCACATTATTTTATATTCATCATTTCTAAAAAAATTCTTATTCTACTTATTGGATTTAATCATCATTTGGCATACTTATTTCTTCAGTCTTCAGTCTTCAGTCTTCAGTCTTCAATTTCTTCAAGATGAATTTTCATCTTCCAAACATATGGATATAGCTGACGAAAAATCTTCGAAATTATTTACTTATTCTTCTTGCTGGATCTAGTCATCATCTGGCATACTTTGCAGCAGTCTTCAGCAGTTTCTCCAAGAGGAATTTTCATCTTCCAAACATATGGATATAGCTGACGAAAAATCTTCGAAATTATTTACTTATTCTTCTTGCTGGATTTAGTCATCATCTGGCATACTTTGCAGAAGTCTTCAGCAGTTTCTTCAAGATGAATTTTCATCTTCCAAACATATGGATATAGCTGACGAAAAATCTTCGAAATTATATATCGTTCTTAGTGGGCCATCATCAGTACAGTCCATGTCGTTACACAGTTTCTACTTTTCTCAGATGTGCTATAATTGATTCTCAGAGGAGTTAACTAATTCCACGTCTTCCTTTTAAATATATAGAAATCATTCGAAAATAATACGTAATATGCCTACTACATTTACTCCAGAATTTTTTGTGAAAAATCCTGTTAAACTAGCTTTGTTGGTGAGATATGCCAGAAAATGTAAACATTTGTATAACCCTTAAACGTGAGAAATTCAGAAATTTCAGGTTACACTGTGCGAACGGTCAGCTCATATAGTCGGGGCAAATAGGTCGTGGTTCATTTACTCACCATCTCATGTAACTTTGTCAAAAATATAACAATTAGCATAAAAAAGATAGTTCCACCAGATAAGATTTAATTTGGACGCCATCTACAGAAAATAAAGTTCAACAAACCTCTTTCTTAAGCCAATCCCTGTAGAAAGAAATTGTCTGTGCTGAAGGATAGGAAAACAAATCAAACAAATAAAATTTAGGTTCATTTACTGACTACAAAGGGTATTCAGAGCTGATGATCATTGTCAGCTTTTCGAATTGTGCCTTCGACTAAGCAGCATGGTATACAAAAAATATCATTCTGGTAAATACTCTACCCGGAGAAAAAGTACAGAAATCAGATACCTATAATAATGACTTTCTATAATCTAAAATGACTTCCATGACATCGCTATACCATCATATATACACACATACATAAATATATACCTAGATATATAATTCTCCAACCTGGGTGTCGTTTCAGCAATGTTCGGAGGAATTTTGCCGCAGTCATAATAGTGGACCACATTATTTTATATTCATCATTTCTAAAAAAATACTTATTCTACTTATTGGATTTAATCATCATTTGGCATACTTATTTCTTCAGTCTTCAGTCTTCAGTCTTCAATTTCTTCAAGATGAATTTTCATCTTCCAAACATATGGATATAGCTGACGAAAAATCTTCGAAATTATTAACTTATTCTTCTTGCTGGATCTGTCATCATCTGGCATACTTTGCAGCAGTCTTCAGCAGTTTCTCCAACAGGAATTTTCATCTTCCATACATATGGATATAGCTGACGAAAAATCTTCGAAATTATTTACTTATTCTTCTTGCTGGATTTAGTCATCATCTGGCATACTTTGCAGCAGTCTTCAGCAGTTTCTTCAAGAGGAATTTTCATCTTCCAAACATATGGATATAGCTGACAAAAAATCTTCGAAATTATATATCGTTCTTAGTGGGCCATCATCAGTACAGTCCATGTCGTTACACAGTTTCTACTTTTCTCAGATGTGCTATAATTGATTCTCAGAGGAGTTAACTAATTCCACGTCTTCCTTTTAAATATATAGAAATCATTCGAAAATAATACGTAATATGCCTACTACATTTACTCCAGAATTTTCTGTAAAAAATCCTGTTAAACTAGCTTTGTTGGTGAGATATGCCAGAAAATGTAAACATTTGTATAACCCTTAAACGTGAGAAATTCAGAAATTTCAGGATACACTGTGCGAACGGTCAGCTCATATAGTCGGGGCAAATAGGTCGTGGTTCATTTACTTACCATCTCATGTAACTTTGTCAAAAATATAACAATTAGCATAAGAAAGATAGTTCCACCAGATAAGATTTTATTTGGACGCCATCTACAGAAAATAAAGTTCAACAAACCTCTTTCTTAAGTCAATCCCTGTAGAAAGAAATTGTCTGTGCTGAAGAATAGGAAAACAAATCAAACAAATAAAATTAAGGTTCATTTACTGACTACAAAGGGTATTCAGAGCTGATGATCATTGTCAGCTTTTCGAATTGTGCCTTCGACTAAGCAGTATGGTATACAAAAAAAATCATTCTGGTAAATACTCTACCCGGAGAAAAAGTACAGAAATCAGATACCTATAATAATGACTTTCTATAATCTAAAATGACTTCCATGACATCGCTATACCATCATATATACACACATACCTAGATATATAATTCTCCAACCTGGGTGTCGTTTCAGCAATGTTCGGAGGAATTTTGCCGCAGTCATAATAGTGGACCACATTATTTTATATTCATCATTTCTAAAAAAATACTTATTCTACTTATTGGATTTAATCATCATTTGGCATACTTATTTCTTCAGTCTTCAGTCTTCAGTCTTCAATTTCTTCAAGATGAATTTTCATCTTCCAAACATATGGATATAGCTGACGAAAAATCTTCGAAATTATTTACTTATTCTTCTTGCTGGATCTAGTCATCATCTGGCATACTTTGCAACAGTCTTCAGCAGTTTCTCCAAGAGGAATTTTCATCTTCCAA